ATATGTCTAAATATTTTTGTCGCATATATTTTGTCGCTATATGTTGCAGGTTGAGTTGTGTTCCTGCAAAATTCATATGTTGATGTTCTAACGCCCAATACCTCAGAAGGTGACAGTACTTGGAAATAGGGTCCTTACACAGGTAATCAAGTTAAAACAAGGTCATTAGTGTGGGCCCTAATACAATATGACTGGTGTCCTTACAAAAAGGGAAAATTGGGAGACAGACACACAAAGAGGGAGAATGCCATGTGAAGATGAAGACGCATAAAGAGAAGACAATGTGAAGAGACACAGGGGGGAAGATGGCCCTCTGCAAGCCAAGGAGAGAGAGCTGTAACAGAACTTTCCCCCAGAGCCTTCAGAAGGAACCAACCCTGCTGATACCTTGTTTTCACACTTCAGTCTCCAGGCTGTGACATAATAATTTCTGTTGTTTTAAGCCGCCCAGTTTGTGGTACTTTGTTATGACAGCCTTAGGACACTAATACACCATACTATTCTGCCATGGTTTTTATATTGTATCCTCACTATCAATTGATAAAATGATCCCGTTGTTTTCTTTGGAATCGCCTTTAACTGTGACGTTGTGTCCCTGCTTGGTTTTCACATTTAATCAGCAGTCCTTTGCCCAGTCTTTTAACGAAGATCCTGTGGCCCCTTGCTCTAAGCCCAGGCAGTTGTTGTGCCACATACGTAGCATGGAGATTGGTGATCGCCTATGTGAGCTCTGGAATCAAAATGGGGGTGGCTGCCCCTTAGTCGCTACATGGCCTTGGGTGAGGACATTAATCTTTCAGTGCCTCAGTTTTTCCCTTTTGTAAGGTGCGGAAATAGTAATTGTCCTTCTATCACAGGATTGTTATGAGGATGGAATAGATTAATACATTTAGAGTGCTTAGAACAGTGCCCAGCCCACAGCAAGTATTTGATAAACATGTGAGCTGTTACGAAGCCTGTCAATTCCCTGTAATGAAGATACCGAGATCATTTTACAGATGAGGAAAATGAGGCTCAGAGAGGTTAAGTCAGGAAGCTAGTGTGAAGGATTGTTGCAGGTTGGATTGCCAAGAGGCAGGATCTGCAATGGAAGTTAATGTGCAGAAAGTAGATTAGGGTATGCTCTCCAGATCAACAGGTGTGGAGGGGTGGGGGTGAAATAAGCAGGATTGGGTTGGGCAGAGGGAAAAGTCAAACTGTGATGCAATTACAACAGAGGCTTCCCATCCAATGGGAGCAGAGTGAGTTAAAATATGTCCACAAACTCTTTGATGCTTCCCTCAAAGGAAGAGCCAAGTTCCCCTTCCCTCCAGTATGGGCTGGATTTAGTGACTCTCTTTTAATGAACAGAAGAAAAGTGAATGTGCGAATTCAGAGCCTAGGTCATACAAGGCACGGAAGCTCCCTGCTTGCTCTCCCCCTGGGATTGCCTGGTCTGGGAGAAGTTAGCTGCCATGCAGTGAGGCTTCTCAAGCAACTTGTGGAGAGTCCCACATGGTGAGGAACTGAGGCCTCCAGCCAACAGCCATTTGAGGGACCCATCTTGGAAGAGGATCCACCAGCCCCAGTCAAGCCTTCAAATGACTGTGGCCCTGTCTAACACGTTGACTGCAACCAACTGAGACCTTGAGCTGGAACCACCCAGTGAAGCCACTCTTGAGTTCCTGATCCACAGACACTATGAGATCATAAATGTTTGTTGTTTTAAACTACTAATTGTTGGGGGTAACTTGTTATGCAGCAATAGATAACTAATATAGGGAGGTTTGGAGGTAGAATTGTCCTTCAGAGCTGTCCCAAATGGGGGTGACAGGAAGAGGTCCTTATATCCTAAATTGACTAGTCATTAGATGTGGGCTGCCCCCTGCAGAAGGGACCATGACTTTGGGCAAAGCAATTTTCTTTGGCTGAGGGCAAGTTTTGAAGAGTGACTTAGCTGAGAGCTGTGGAGACCAATACTCTCAGCAGCTCAGGGAACATGTCCTTCAGTCCTGAAAGAAGGGTCTGGGCAGAGCATCACAGCATCACTAAAAGATGTTTACTGGGGGGCCAGCCTGGTGGCATAGCAGTTAAGTTCACATGCTCTGCTTCGGCGGCCCTGGGTTCGCCCGTTCGGATCATAGGCACAGACCTACGGCCCACTTATCAAGCCACGCTGAGGCGGCGTCACACATAGAGCAACTAGAAGGATGTACAACTATGACATACAACTATCTACTGGGCCTTTGGGGAGAAGAAAGGGGGAAAAAAAGGAAGACTGGCAACAAATGTTAGCTCAGGGCCAGTCTCCCTCAAAACAAAACAAAACAAAACAAAACAAAACAACAAAGGATGTTTAGTGGGACATCTCCTATTGTCTCAGAATGGGCACTAGGCTCACAGCTGAAAACAACAGGTATAATACCCCATCTTCTAACTAAAGATGCCCACAATCGGGGCCACGTCCCCCAGGGCTTAATAAAAAGCTACAGATGTAGCTTCCACCAAATACCTCCCCAATCCTCCCCTCAGTCTATAAAGGAAGGTAGGGGAAGAAATGAAAGGAAGCAGTTGGCCTTGTGGAGAATACAGTGTTTCTGGTGGGAAGTGACGTACAAGGGGAGGCTATAAGATAATCTCTCTTAGGTATCAATGGGACTTCCTGAAAGGGGAGGCTGGTGTTTCACTCCCTGCTTGCAAATCTGTGTAAACAGGATTCTTACTGATTTGCCCCTGTCTGTATTCCAGGAGGGAGCAAGACCACTGAGGAGAGATGGCAGAGTGGAGAGGAGAGACCATCAGGCAGCCTCTGTCCAGCCCTTTAGTGTGGCAAGGATGTGTGTTTCTTATCCATCTGGTGGACTCCGTGGAAGATAAATAGTCTTGAGCTGTCTTGCTGGACCCTCACCCAGGACACTGGGTGTACTGCTGGATGCTGGCAGTGGGGTGACAGAAAAGATCAAGCTGGAGACAGACTTCCCATGGAAACTACGGAGGGGAGAAGGCCACTGGGCCTTCCCACATGTGCCCCAAGAAGGGAGTTTCAAACAAAGGTCAGCTATCTGCAGGAGCAGGGATCCACTGAGAGAGAACTCCAGCAGTGGCCTGTTGAGAGATACTTCCCTCAACACAGAAGCGAGGCCTTGAGGAGGATGTTGAAGAAGTGTCTGAGAGCCAGAACCACGACTTGCACCTTCCCACCCCCACTAAGGATCTAGGGTCCCACTCAAGTCATGAGATTGACACTTTGACATGATCTGATTTTTAGAAACAGAAATTGACCAGAAAGTTATGGTGTCACCTGAGATGTGGTTAAGGAACAGAAAAGAATCCCAACAGTAGTGACTGGACATAAATGGACTGTTTCATGTTTGGAAGCTGCTGGCTCAACAGATCAGATTGATAATTGCTGGAACTAAAGCTCTTTGCACTGCGCCAGCATTCTGTAAGGATTGTGTACAACCTACGACGATGAGTAAAATATGGCACATCTGTCCTCGAGAAACAAGAAATCTTCTGCTGTAAAATAAGTATAAAGCAGGTTTGCTAAAACAAACTTCAGAATGTGGGTACGTGTAAGGTGTTTCTTTTCCTGTTTCCCTGCATCGTCTACTGAAATTGATATTTTACCAGTTGAAAACGATGGGTGAGTCTAGTAGAGAGGAATCCACTCCTTGAATTGCAAATAGACTAGACTGTGATTATTAAGTCCCTAATAAATTGTTCTAGAATTGCTGAGTTTGGGTTGCCAGGAAGATATCCAAGTCAGAAACGGAAGCCCTGAGGGCAGAGAGCAGCTGAAAACTGAGACCTGAATACTGGGAAATACCACATGTATCAACCTTCAAAAGCAATTGCGGCAACAGCACCATCACTGTTGTCGTATAAAATACCTTAAATTCTCAAGAGGGAGGCTTCCGTGATACTAATTCATGAAATCGTTTTAAGGAGAATTTCTGATGTAATCCTCAAAGTAATGCACTTTAGAAAAACAAATATCAGAATCAGAGAATTTAAAGAAAAAAAGCACTGCTTCACTGCATTAAGTCAGTTACCAAAATAATGACATTTTCCCTCTCTGCTTACTGGAAAAGCCCTTGTTAAAAACATTTACAAGGGATTTTATTTCAATAAATGTAGTATGTTGCCTAACACTGTATCGCTGCCCTGCCTGGAAGCAACTCCCCCCCGAGAACAATCCATGTCTTGAGTCTAGCTCAGGCAGCTCTTGCTAGGAATAACGGGGGGACGCAGCTCCGTTTTAGCTTTGGGGTTTGTATTTCCACGCACCGCCGGGCCCCCTCGTGGGAGGGGGGACCCCCAGGCCGCGCCTTCCCACGTTCTGCACGCGATCATGAATATTCAACACCCGTCCAGGGCGCGCACCGGGGACGGTACCCACCAGGCCCCGCGCGCCGCGGCTCGGAGCGGGGCGGGGTC